CACAGTTTATTTTATATCACAATATTCACATATAAACACACACTCAAACTGTCAACAGGTATAACTATATTTAGCTAGTCCGTCATGAGAGGGGTTTTCTGAGTAAATTTAATTGTCAATACACATGTCCCCCTGCACGTTCGCAATGTTTCATGTTTTGCGATGTGCGTTTTTACTGTCAGGCCGAATATTGGGATGCATAATAAACCAAGGGGCTATTGATGTAGGACAAACATCACTCTCCGGGTCAAATCGTATTTCAATCAGTAAAACGCTACCTTTTGAAACGCAGAAGGTATTTCAAGCTGATTTGTTGTTCAGTCGTGTCCCACACCATGCAATGACACAAGCATTATATGTGTTGACAAAGGAGAGCGTATCGAAGTTCTTGAGAATTTTCACTCTTTGAAATGTAGCATGTTTACTTTATGTCCTGTGACAACGCCAACCAATTAAATCACTGTAGTCATATATCTCATAAGACAACATACCTAACTGTACGCCTGTGTGTGAGGCCAATGGTTGCTCTCCCTGACATAGCGTTGGGCATAATACTGCGTACAACCATACTGACGTGACAAAATAACTCTCTAAATACAGAGGTAGCATTGATAGTTATAGTTGCTGTAGCACCAGTAGTCGTAGTTTTAGAAATTAAATAGTAGCAATCTGTAGTGTTGATTATTAGTTAATTGTGTGATAATGAGTTGTTGTCGCTGTAGTAAAATTAGTAGTTGCTGTTAGTTTGTATGTTTGATTGTTGTTTAACGCCGCGCTCAGCAATATTCCAGCTGTATGACGGAAATCTGTAAATAATCAAGTCTGGACAAGACAACCCAGTGATTGACATCATGAGCATCGATCTACGCAATTGGGAAACGATGACATGTATCAACCAAGTCAGCGAACCTGACCGCCCGATCCCGTTAGTCTCCTCTTACGAGAAGCATAGTCGCCTTTTACGGCAATCATGGGTTGCTGAAGACCTATTTTACGCCGGATCAGTTGTGATATAGTCTCGCATGAGGAATCCAGACGGTCTATTTAAGGATTGATTGTGTATTGTTTTCGGTTCATTGAGGTATGAATCGAAAACCCATTGTGCAAACTGTATGATTCCGCGTATTATTATGATGTACAGATTAAAATACAACATGCAGCAAAGAGGGTTTGGGTGATCCTGGCACAGTCATTCTGATTAGGCTCATCATCAGCTCAGGGCCCTTGCCCCCTCTACACGCAGCCTAGACAGCGAATGGGACTTCTCACATGAAGCGCTGCCCAGTCAAACCCACACAGAGCTTTTCGGAGAATGTGAAGACTCCCCAACACTGCCGCCTTCTGCATTACCCAGATTGTCAGAAGGGCTGTATTCCTGGTAGTAAACCCGGGTGCTCTCCCATTGTCAGTCAACTGATTAGGAGGTACCAAACCTAAGGCACCGAGAACAATGGGGAGTCGGACAACTTGGTACTTGAGATGCAAGCGTGACATTTCGAAAGGAGATCCGCATATTTGCAATGTTTTTCCTCAATCTTGTAAATCACATTGGTGTCAGAGGGGACAGAAAATCCAATGATATAAATGATTTTACTGGATTGATCAAAAAGGACAAGATCAGGTTTGTTGGCCTGGATACGTCTGAGGCTGTAATTTGGCCTATTCCAAAGAATTTTGTATTTAGCATTTTCCATGGCGCCCTCGACATATTCCGGGTCGTACCAAGGGTGGACCGCTGTGTCAAAACCAAAAGCATGCATATGGCCAAGACGGTAATAAAATGATCGAGCTACACCATCACGTCGTTTAAGATACTGTGTTTGTGCCAAAACTAGGCATCCACTGACAATGTGTTGGACAGTCTCATTAAATCCATTACATGACCTAAATTTCATAATGATATTTTCATGCAAAATCACACATTGACGGTTTCGAGTGGGAAGTGACTGGTCCTGAGCAGCAAACAGAAAGCCTCCTGGTTCATTTTTCAGGCCAGACGACTTCATCCAAGCGAAGGACTCTGCAAGCACGTGTGTGTGTGTGTGTGTGTGTGTGTGTGTGTGTGTGTGTGTGTGTGTGTGTGTGTGTGTGTGTGTGTGTGTGTGTGGACTACCAAGACATATAATTTCATTCAGATTCGATGTATGTATGTATCATTGTATAAAATTGTATATCTTGTAATATTGTTTATCCCTGTGTGAAATTTGTATATATATTTTACATTGTACAAATGAATAAATCCCTGTTTAAAATTGTATAAACTGGGAAATTGTAGATAACTGTGTATGAAATTGTATGTGTCTGTGACAATACATAGATGTATACAAAAACACAGATAACTGAATCATTGTATTTGTCCGTATTTGTTGTAAATTAAAATATTGTTGCGAATACAATCCCAGAAAAGTGCCATCAATATATTGCTGGCATATTGCTTAAAAGGGGCGTTAAATCATACTCACTCACTGAAAGAGATACAATCTTTAACATAAGGTAAAACAACTTCAAGTCATTTGAAAAAGAATGAAAGTATCTGAAAATATCAAGCAATGAATGTTCATATCTTTCTCTGTATAGTTGCAACCGAATGCTTCTTAGATGGCTATTAATTATAATCTCTTATTTAGTAAAATAATTCTAATTTAACCTCATTATATTAGAACGCGCAGCCGAATCGTTTCGGGGACAGAGAGGAAATACATTGACGCGTGAGACTGGCGTATTTCTCCATATAGTGTAACAAGGAGCAAAGACAAATAATTACACGCTACTACCAATATTGTCTGCTGAAATATAATTTGTTTTCAAAATTAAAATCAGTTATTTGCAACAGCATTCCTCTTCTTGAAATCTAACAAATGTCTTTAAGTTGTAATTTCACAAGCAATCTATGCGCGCTGCTGTGATTATTTTGGGGTCTTCTTTCGACTAAAGATCATTTCGTCTGCAGTCAGTTTGACAACAGTGATTGTGGTAAGGTGCGGGAATGAAACTGCACTCAGTTAATTCCATTTTTCCATTGATAATGTACAGGTCCGCGCTCCATAATACTGGAGACAAGAACCACAATACAACTCAAACGTGAAACATAGCCGAATACTTTAACACATACTGCGAAGAAGTAACTGTTTATTTTTTGTGTCATATGCACAAGCCGCTATGGTAAAAACATTTGACATAATACGTGACTGTTCAAAACAAAAGCTATTAGGCTTATGAGACACATTAAAATACAAGTGTAACCATTGTGAAATAATAATAATTATAATAATAATTATAATAATAATTATAATAATAATAATAATAAAAATAATAATAATAAAAATAATAAAAATAAAAATAAAAATAATAATAAATCAAACATAGACAACAATAATCATGGTAATCATAATAATAATTGTAATCCTAATAATAATAATCATAAATTAAATATACATTTACAATACCAATAAAAATGATAATACACTAATAATAATAATAATAATAATAATTATAATAATTCCTCTTGCATAATAAAAATCCATTTATCTAAGCTGCCTAAAAATTTAAAAATCTCTGTTAATACCAAAAGCTTCTTGTAAAAGGTCAAAACGTAAATCATCATAAAAGTCACATTCGATGAAGAAATGACATTCATCTGCAACATAATTTGGGGGAGCATCGTGTTCTTTAGAGTATATACAATATTTACATATTCTTTGAGACAAAGGTGTGGGAAGCTCGGAGTATCGGCCGGTCTCAATATGCAGTGGTAGATTACCGCATCTAAAAGAGGCTAAACTCCTTCTGTGATCCTTGAACTCAACACGCTTGACATAAAAATCGACATCAGGAAAACACTTCTAAGTTCTGGAAGTTCGTAATTTGTTCCCGTTTGGTTCATTTCTAAATACATGTAGTAAATAAGGGGAAGCATTCTTTGACTAAAACAACAATTAGTGAGACGCCTAGCTACCCCTTCATCTGCGTGGTGTCTCACATGTCTTTCATTTATTTTAGTATAAAACATTAAACGACTGAGGTGGCTTGCTAATAACATCAAACAAGATTATTTATACACAGTTTTAGGATTCCATATCCACGGATTAACTAACTATTTTCCTTTGAATAAATATATTTCTGAAAAACACCCCCGAGTCAATTAACTTACTATAACTGAAGGTATATAAGTGTTTTATTCACAATAATCACACCCTGATCTGTAAGAACGGTCATATGGCAAGCCGTTTTCACATTTATTACGGAATTACTGATATCTTCAATTGTTTTTAAGGTATCGATATTCTATTTAAAGATATTAATAATGTTTTAAGATATCATAAAATAATTAATGATATCTTGAAAACATTTCTGATATCCAAAATACAATTATTGATATCATAAAATCTTATTGTGACATCAACAAAATATGTCTTGATATAATTAAACAATTACAATGTACCATCCTGCTGTACATAATCTTATTAGAAACATATTCAAGATATCTTAAATTCAGTTCAAGATTTCTTGAAATAAGTTATATATATATCCACAAATGCATTACAGATATCCTTAATGCGTTTTAGATATATTTAATTCAATTAGAGATATCTTTAAAACAATTGAAGATATCAGTAATTCCGTAATAAATGTGAAAACTTGCCATACGGCCAACCCTCAGCGTCCCAACGAGGAGGAAGGCAATGGCCTTAGATATAACCTAAATAATACGCGACTGACAAGCGTCCATTGGAGATGTATACCTTAGATGAATAAAAGCCATTCTACTACACCAGGACACAATTGTACATGAATGATTATCTATCGATGTTATGTTGCATGGAATATATATGTATACATAAGAGTTTTCATTAAAACGTGACGCGATTGTGAACATCATAGGTAAAATGCATATACAATGATACGAGTCCAATAATGCCCATGCAGCAGCGGAAACCTTTACATGTGGGCACGTAATTCCGCGATGGTGAAAGAACGAATAATCTGCTTCAGATACTCACTCAAAATAAACTTTGCTCTATATCTGCAAATAAACCTCCGAAACATCTCCTCCAAGGTAATGAAAGCAATTACCACTATGGGAGACGTGCACACGTGTGTGTGTATCAATGACTGTGTATCCGTGCTGAGCAGTTTGTTGAATGTGCGTCACGTGGCACGGAAAAGTTCGTTTACCCGTCCATAAATTAGGATAACTGAAACTAATATAATGTTATATACGAATGGTTTCACTCTTTAGATATATTCATATACATAATTATGTAAGTGAAGATAATACGTTGTCATTGGTGAATACATAGAAAAACAACGACAAAGCCTCCACAGACACCGTTTCATGGAGATATAACAACACAGAAAATAGCTCAAGGGACATAAATGAGGATTAAAAACGAGATAAAAAGACGCTCTCGTAAAATTACTCATAGTTTGCGACATCTAGCAGTTCATGCATGACCTGGGAGCAACGACGAATTACGGAATATCTATTTGTTTGTTTGTTTGTTTAACACCTCACGCAGCAATATTCCAGCTATATGACGGCAGTCTGTAAATAATCAAGTCTGGACCAGACAATCCAGTGATTGACATCATGAGCATCGATCTACGCAAATGGGATACAATGACATGCATCAACCAAGTCAGCAAGCCCGAATCCCGATCCCGTTAGTCGCCTCGTACGACAAGCATAGTCGCCTTTTGCGGCAAGTATGGGCTGCTGAAGACCTATTCTAACCCGGATTTTCACGGGTCAGGAATATCTGTCCCGAGTGAACTGGAGGGAAACTGTCAAAATAAATTCACGAGAAACAGATAATCCCCGTTGCGATTTACTTATTATTATCCACAGCCATTTTCTGTGAAAATGTAGAAAACTGTCAGTTTCCTCATCAACAACGTCACACAAAATCAAACGAAGTTAGAGGGTATAATGGAATAAGCGTGTCCGCCTGTCTGTCGGTATGTCTGTCTGTAGAAAATAACATTGCGGACAATTCCTTCCAAGCTAATTGAATGATTTCAATTTAACTTTGTGCACGTGACCACTTCAACATAAAGTTGGGCACCTTGCAGTTATTTGTTCATTTCGGCGGAGTTATTGCCCTCTATTACTTCGCCATTTTAATTTGTCTGGACAACTACTAAACTACTACATCGATTTCTTTCAGATATGTACGTTGGTGTATCTACAGACACTGTACGACATGCCTTCATTTCCATTACCATTGTGTGACCATGGCAACAGAACTGAGGCCTCCATCGAAATAGAGGTATTGTCCGATTTCGTTTACATTTTGTATATTGACATGTTATGTGAAACTCAACCATATAGGTTTTGCTTTTACCGTGGCAATGGAAAGGAGGCTTCTGGTTGCTCCTTTAAGTACTCTACCCTGTTTCATATAATCTTAACAAAAAACAGAGGATGCGATTATGGCTTTGAATGCATTTGCAGAAGGACGTTTGGATACTCATGTTAATATTATCATACGTCTGCGGGAGGTATTTAATACCCCATAGGACAGTTCTAGTGAGCATAATATTTTTCAATACAAACATAGATGGCCGAAGGCTTACGTGACGTATTGCCATCCGTGTTTGTACAGCGTGCGTCATCCATCCATTTATAGCTCTTGTAGCACGGGTTGCGAGCGGTACCTTTGATCTTACCCGTGCTGTATCATGGTAGTAAGAGCACGGCTTGTTAAAGATTATTACCATTGGCTAATGCCAAGATCAGCAAGCCCCGCCTACTAGCTTGAGAAATTTCAAACTTACAATGTTTCTTTAGTGTTGTACACAGTGTTCAAGAGTAATAACGTAAATAAACAACAAAAAACAATAGAAATGTTTATAACTTAATTAAAAGATTACAATGTAACTGCCAAACATAAAAACAACTGGCCACAGAACGCATTTTGCTAAATTCGGAAAATTAATAGTTGACATTTCTAATGTGCCTTTGAAAATTCCAAAGTTTACACTTGATTTAACAATAAGATTAAAAGTTAAACGTTAACGTTAAAAGTTAACGTCATATTATACGTCACTAAATTTTACATAAACTCGCGCGATTTTGGAATGACCGTCGCAACCCGTGCTACAAGTCACTTACAACACACCCACCTACTCCGCCCCTCGGTCAATCAAATGCCAAGCCAAACCGTGCTCTTACTGCCCAAACAACTCGTCTTGGTGTGTTGTAACTATAACATATGGTATAGAAAAGGTATAGACATCATATCCGAAAAATATATATGGTTATTTTTGACTAGACACGGTACTTGTGAAACGGACGGGGTGGTTCTTTTGACAAGAGCATCCTTGCATTGGAATTCCTGTCGTTTTTAATATCATATGGTTCTGGTGTATGCTCAACTGTCATATGCGTAACACTGTTTCAAAACGCCCATTATTATATGCCTAAAACTCTGTTAATGGACTATTCTAACAACCCACCACCATCTACAACTTGTGATCTGCTTGGTCTGAGTCCTCCTTTCCGTCGCTATGGAATTATGATAGTAACTGAAATGAGGTTACCTTGTAGAGTATCATGAGATAACCTTTGTACAACAGTAAGTTTAATAGATTCTGTTAAAAGGGTCAGGGGTCATAAACCCATTCATAAAACCTGCATATAGCAACCAGGTGGTCGTTGTATGGAGTGAAACTAAAAATGGTTAGTCATTTGCACGTCTAGACAAAGTAACGATCAATTAAATCTGCGAAGTTTCATGAATGTTCGATAAGTATTATTTCAAAGTAATAACCCCAAATGTGAAAAAAATATTATCTGTCAATGCAAACCTTAATGTAAGGTTAACCCGCAACCCTTAATGTAAAAAGAATGATGTCCTAAACACTACAGGAACCACATTTTTTAATTCAAGAAATCAAAGTGATAAGAAATAATAGGGTTTTGAAAGAATAGATAGTTGTAATCAGCATTCCAGAAGCCGTTACAAATATACGCATAAGTTTACTGTTGGTTAAATGGAGGCTGGTGTTCCAGCCTATTCGTGCCAGTCCTTTTTTATCCCCTTAATGTCGAGCTCCAGGCAGGGGAACAAGTATCTGATTCATCTTTTAAAGTCTCTTGGTATGACGCGGCTGAGAATCGAACCTCCGACTTCCGCTGTCCGGGCAGATGCTCTACCACTAGATCACGGAGGCGGTCTCATGGCGGAAGAACATTGTGACTGTAAGAAAATGACCTTCGAGCAACGAGGAATTACAACTTATTTGTCTCAAGTGAATCAATTTTTATAACTTCCGTGCCTTGGTAGGGAACTTTCAACAGTAATTTACGAGGAAGACATCAAGTAAGTTACTCAATTGTTGAATGTCACATAAAATTGCCATGACGTCATGAACAATGAACGACTTCGTCATCAATCATTTGCGACAATGGGATCACATGACGTAACGTTGCTATGCAAACACTGGAAACAATGAAACACTTGCTCAAAATAAATTATTGAAAATAATTTCAGTATCCGTGCCCTTATGGGTGATATACCACACAAACCTCCATGTATCATACATTTAATTACTGTTTCTGATGTATTAATGTAATTAGAATATACAGGAAATACAAAAAACTAATCAGTCTATAATAATAATCAGTCTATTTTACTTTTAATATTGATTAATTTTAGTATTAGTGAAATTATGGATGAAATTGGGATTTATATCAACGTCGTAGTTTGCCTGAAGAACACCTTCAACAAGGGGTCGCTGCTAGGGTCTTCAATCTTGTACTGACTTACTCTGGTGTTCCTGAGCGAAGCTTATTGGCTTGGGTGTAATGCCCCGTTTTTCTGCTAATCCTATCATTACTTCATTTTTTATCTCATGACACCCTGTTCTCTGGATCACGGCTCCGTGACTATCCATAACAATTAAGATGAACATTCAGATCAAGTACATGAATGAGCTTGTCTTGACGCTACAGTCAATCAAAGACCAATGCTGTGCGGTTTGATTACACACTTCTACCAGGTCGAACATCGTGGATCTTTATTTTCTACCTAAAGAGAATCATGATGACCTTACTTGTGGTTAAATCCATCATCTATCCCCCTCATTCTCACCCCCACGCCCCCCCCCCCCCCCCCCCCCCAACACACATACACGCACACACGCATTTACACACACACACACACACACACACACACACACACACACACACACACACACACACACACACGGACCTAATTAACCTGGGCAGGAAATACTGCTGATAGCCTCTGGTCAACACCGCCGCGCTATCACAGAATGTTCGTCCAACTCTGCAGGGGGCATTCTCAGTAGCTTCAGACGGGCTGAAATGTTTTCTTTTTGCATCCAAGATGGAGGACAAGTGAAACCGTATGATATTTGGCTATGTTAGGTCGCTATGTCTTTTTGGATTACACAATAAAGCCAATTCATGGTTACACGATTGTGAAGAAGCTTACAACTTTATAACACTTATTCATCTCCATCTCCAATAGAGCTACTCGTACTCACATAAAGTTGTAGTTTTTATGTCACTGTTTTATTTCTTTATTTCTGTTTTTATAATCCTAGTTAACATGTTTATCCAACTCGAACTACCATCCCGCTCAAGATGACTTAATGTTTTATGTAATATCCAACAGACCCACATTTGTAATTGAGACCACCATGTTCCAATCGTCTCAGTGATAGAACGATTGGGAAGTAATTGTAACTTGTGTAAACTGCCGGACAAAAGTAAGTATACACCCATGTTTGATGGTGGTTAAAAATGAAACAAACAAGAAATGGTTATTCGATGGAGATATATTTGCTTCGGGTATCTTAGGCGATACTACATGCATCATAGCAATGAGTGTCTCACAACAGGTGACGTGCACATGACGTCTTAAGGAGCAAGGGGGTCGCAATTACACAGTACACAGGAGTGATATTAGAATGGCAGGCATTTTCTTTTGCCCGGTTGTGTATATATATCCTGGGAATATAATTTTAAACAGTTTGAGAATTTGTGTCGCTATTTTCTTTTACTGTTCTAATATATTTGATACTGTACAGCAGTAATGAATAGTTTCCTAGACAGAAAGCATGATCTATGAAACGGTTTCTGGTTGTTCGCAACACTCTTTGGACGACATCCACCTCGTGTCTGCAATCCGACTATCCCCTC